AAAGAGCGTGGTGTGTGTGTGGGTCTGTGTGCACATATGTACATGTGCATATGTATGTGAGTTCAATCTCAGAGCAGGAGACCATCTTGACTAGAACAGAGTTCAATGCTCGCTTAAAAGGGGTCAGGAATTAAGGGGTCAGGATATAGAGGAAGACTTTGAAGGGTCTTGATTCTGGGCAGAAAAGTTTATATAGTGCAGGTTCTTAAGCAGAATAGTCACATCAGGAAAGACATAACTGGGGCCAGTAGGTAGCATGGTGGTTACGAGTGTTAGACTCCGAACCAGCAGTTAGCGTAATGGCTATGTCGCTGGACTCCCACGTAGTCGACCGCGGTTCGTGTCCCGGACCCGGTGGCTTAAAACTCACGCCAGGCGCGTGTGCGTGCGTGCCCAAGATCCCGAGAGGAGAATGGAGGAGAAGGGATTGCGGCGTGACCATCCCCCCTGGGGGGTGATTTCTCGCTTTCTGTCTCTATGTCTCTCTCTGTCTGTCTGGCGAGCGCACGCGCCCTACAGTGAAAATCTCTCCAAAAAAAAAAAGTGTTAGACTCCCACATGGCCAACCGTGGTTTGAGTCCTGGACCCAGCGGCTTCCCACTTTCCCCTCCCTTTCCCTATCTGGTCAAATAAAAATAAATAAATAAATAAAGTTAAATAAAATAATTCTTTGGGGGAAGAAAAAAAAGAAGGACAATCTTCTAAGAGAAGAACTGCTAAGGCAGGGTGTTAGAATGTAGTACCCGAGAATGTCAGCAGGTGGCATGGTGGCCGAGGTGCTGAACTCCCACCTGGCCAAGGATGGTTCGAGTCCTGGACCTAGCGGCTTGAAAATCACGTTGGGTGCATGTGTGTGCCCAAAATCCTGAGAGGAGAATGGAGAAGGGATTGTGGCAGGGGGACCCCCCCCCCAAAAAAAGCCGTGTCCCCCCCCCCCCCCCCGTGGGAGGGCAATTTCTCCAACAAATGCACATGCTCTATGGCAAAAATCTAAAAAGAAAAGAATGCAGAGCTTGTTTTTAAGTAGGCCGGGGGAGCAATGGTTACAACCACGTCGTGTTCATCTTGCTCAGTCTTCGACTGCAACATCGACCGCAGAGGGCTCTACTCTGCACACACCTGGCACTTACCCAGCAAGTGGAGCACAGACGTCGCCACTGCCTTTCCGAGAGCATTGGTGGCTGTGCAGACGTAGGTTCCTTCATTTTCGAGGGAAACATTCTGCAACAACAGGGATCCATTGAAAAGCAAGGAAACATTGTCACTCAGAGATCCTCCTCTCTTCAACCAAGTTACATTAGGCTGAGGGACACCTTGGAACAAAAACAAATATGACAAAGGCAATTCCTTTAAGAACAGGGCCACAGAACCACGTGACATAATACCACTGTTTTGACAAGTTCGCAAATGGGTTTAATTGCAGATGCTAGGAAGCACGGCTATTTCTAGTTCTACAACTCTTCTTTGGCTGATGAGCGCATGCGTTAAGGAAAAGGGCTTTGGTCTTCTGAGCACCTGATGAGTTCACGTAATATAAGTGAAGGTGTGGGAACCAAAGGGAGTGAGATTGCTTTGTATTAGGAAGGGAGAGAAGTTTGAGGTTGGGAAGGGTAGTGGGAGAGTGGTTAGAAAGAAGGACTCGTTGGATGGTGGGGAAAGTGGAGACAAGGCTGGGGGGGAGACTTCCCCGCTGGGTTATCACAAAGAAGTCTTTGGAAAACTAAATATGTAGAGAGCTCTTCAAGGTGTATGCTATGCAATGCAACGAAAAATTCTTCTTTCAGGAGGAACAGAACATCTGCGGGGAACAGATTCTGTTTATGAGTGCTGTAGTCAAAGTAGATAATTTCAGGAAATGAAGTCACGTTGAGTTTCAAGTCTTGAGTCAACGCAGTGAGGTGCAGAGGTTGTAAGCAACATTGTAGGAGCCTGGACACAGAGGGAAGCATGTGGAGTTGGGAGAATTTCTTCCCTGAAATCTTGAGAAGTCTTAGAGTCCCCAGAATCTGGCTGGGGAGTGCTATCGGAAACTCAGAGGAATTGCGTTTGATACGTAACAGCTAAGGCAGCTTCAAAGATGCCTGCCATTGCACTAGGGAACAGGTTTGGATGACGCCTGTCCTGCAGTGCTCTGGCTAGAGAGAACACAGAAACGCAGCGAGGCTTTCTGACAGCAAACTGTCACCACTGTTACCAAGGTAAGTGCAACACATCTGACAGTACGGGATACACTTGCTCTGTGCACATGGGACGCTGTGGTTCTCACACTTGCTCCTGCTCCTTGAGAAGCAGTCGTTGTTCGTGGCATCTCACAGCTGAGGAAGCTGGTGAGCCTTCGGACTTCAGGCCCAGTTCCATTCGCTACACCAAACTCCTCACTAAAGTCTCTCAGAGCTGTTACTGGGCAGCTTCAAGAAAACTGTTTATCGGGACCAGCAGATGGCGTAATAGTCACGTTGCTGGACTCCCACATGGCTGCCTATGGTTAGAATCCCAGACCCAGGGGCTTGAAACTCACACCAGACACATGTGCGTGTGTGCCCAAAATCCCAAGAAAAGAACGGAGAAGAGACTGCAGTGTGTTCACCCCTCCGGCAGGTGATTTCTCGCTTTCTGTCTCTGTCTCTCCGGTGAGTGCACATACCCTATAGGAAAAAGTTCTCAAAATAAATAAATAAATAAAAGAAAATGAAAACTTTTTATCTATACTATTTAGATTTACTTACAGAAACCAAGGACTGATATTGGTACTAAATTATTGTCCAAAAACTTAAGAAAAATAATCAATTTCCACTCAATGTGGAGAAGGAAATGTGTAGTGAATAGGCACGGCCTTGGGGGCCAGCAGGCAGCACGGCGGTTAAGGCACTAGACTCCCACATGGCCGTCCAGTGTGTGTCCTGGATCTGGTAGCTCGAGAATCATGCCGGACATGTGTGTGTGCATGCCCAAAGTCTACGGAAAAGAATGGAGAGAAAAACTGTGGCATGGCCTTCCTCTCTGAGGGTGTGATTTCTCACTCACTTTCCCTCTCTCTCTTTCTCTCTGTCTCCAGAAAGCACACGCATCCTATGGGGGAAAAAAAGCACTGCCTTGGGTGGGTAGGGGAGGCTTTGTTTTCGTTCTCAACATTTACAAATTCTGGAGCGTTGGACGAGCCATTTTAGATGTCCACAGTCTCATCTGTAAAAGGCATATGAAATCTGAATAGGAACTTCACTAATGAGGTGTTTAAAATCTGAATCTGAGATGGTTGTCTTTGAGGCTTTTGTCCCTAACCCTGTGGCTCTGTATACTGTGGTAGGCATGATTTTAAAGATGTCACCCCAAGATTCTCATCCCCTGATTACGCAATTTTTTTTTTTTTTTTTTTTTTAAAGAGAGATGTTTGCTGTAGGATGCATGCATTCACCGGACAGACAAGGAGACGAAAAGCGAGAAATCACCCCCAGGAGAGATGGCCACACTACAATCCCTTCTCTGTTCTCCCTATGGGATTCTGGGTGTGCGCGGGTGCACGCACACGCGCGCACACACACACACCTGGCATGAGTTTTAAGCTGCCGGGTCTGGGACTCGAGCCATGGTTGGCTACATGGGAGTTGAGCGTTATAACGTTACACCATCTGTTGGTCCCTGCTCAATTAATTAATTATTAACCTATATATGGGGTGAAGGGATTTTGCAGATGTTATAAAGGTTACTAATCACCTGATATTAAAATGAGATTATCCAGGTGGGCTCCGTGTAATTGTGTGAGTCTTTAAAATCAGAAGAGAAGGGCAGAAGAGGTCAGAGACTTGCAGAGAAGAGGAAGTAGGAGAGAAGAGACAGGAGTTCAGGGAGGTTCAGTGTAGGAGGGGCACGTGACCCCCCCCCCATGTCTGACGTGGAGATGAAGGGACCATGAGCCAGAGTGCAAGCGGTCTCCAATGATTGACAAGGACCTCTCCCTGACAGCTCTCAAGGAAACGGTCTTATGAAGACAAGGAACTGAGTTCAGTGCAGTTGCAAGCTCTTCTCCACTGAACCCAAAAGACCTTGCAAGCAATTTATCCCCTGAGCCTCCAGAAAGGAATGCAGCCTCCCTGACTCCTTGATCTCAGCCTTCGATACTCAGAGAAGAAAACTGAGCCCAGCCGCACTGAACCAAGACAGACAGGAGCAACTGTGAGATAATAAATAGGCGTTGTTTTAAACCTCCAAGTTTGCAGTAATTGATTACAGAAGCAAGAGAAAACTAATACACACAGAGAGCTATTTTGAGTTTTGTTATGAAAACAAGGCTGGCCTTAAATAACCAGAGGGATGCTTATCAGATGTGCAGATGGCTTGTTAGACTTTTCTTCTACAAAAATATCTACACAGAACGGTTAAGCTTTCCTGAGGTCACAGTTACTAAGCACTGGGGCTGAAATTCACACCTATTCAGTCTGATCCAGAACCTTTCTTAATCAAGGAGAGATCTCATGTAGGTAGGTCATATATATTTCTTAATAAATTTACTGCTGATCACCTATGCTGACCCATCAGGGAGTGCGCTCTCTCTCTCTCTCTCTCTCTCTGGTAAATGCATACTCTGTCCAGCAATTAAACAAAACAAAACAAAAACACCCTCCTTCCCTTCACCAAGAAATACAGCTCAAAGGGACTCGGAATAGAAGTGTAACTATCTCCTTAGGTGCTTTGCTCATGCCGTCATTGTCGCGATCAATTTAATGTTTAGAAGAAGTCTGAGACAACCTGATTTTTGTATTGTCTTTTAAATAACGTGCCATTCCTGTTGTTATGTGGGTTTTCATGTTCAGATACCCGTAGGATTTTTTTCTGTAACCTCAAATTTGCAAAAATGTTCCCAGGATCTGATCAGGAGAGAGGCAGCAATACTTTAGCATTAATGCTGCCTGGAATACTCTGGTGTAGGCCACCTGCAAGCTTCAGTCGTTTTTTCACTCACTACGCGTTCATTCATTCTTTCTTTCTTCTTTTTCTCTCTCCTCTTTCTCCTCCTCCTTTTAAAATGTTATGCTCCATTCTCTTCCTCAGGGACACCAAGAGAGACTGGTCATCTCTCTTCCTTGTGTCCATCCTCCTGTATTGATTAATTTTAGCTCTTTTCTTGTTTCCTCTGTGTTTTGCAAGTAATTCTTAAGCTTGACCTCCTGTCACTCATCTCCTTTTGTGTAGAATGTCTCATTTTCTGCTTCTAATGTGGTTTTATTTCTGTAGGGATTTGGTCTTGCCAGTTCTTTTTTGACTTCTGCTTCTCTCTCAGTTCAGTTTTTAAATTTCTCAGTGTTTTTATCTTACCGTTCTAGAATTTATTGGGGATGCAATAGAGACACTACCTAAAATTTACTTTTTTTGATACCAGAGATGCTGTTCATGCGCCTCTTGAATACTCAGAGTCATTTTTGCTGCACGACCTCAGTGTTCTGACTCCAGTAAGCAAAACTTTTTCCTGGTCTCACAGGTCCAGATCAATGCTCCTAATTCCAAATTTTATAATTATTTCTAACGGTAACATGAAAGGCAAATTATCAGGCATCCCATTTTCAACCGAAAGACCACAGAGATGAAGTTGTGATTACCTAAGTCTCAGAAATTCCTGATTCTTAGAAATGACAATGAAGCGAGGAGTGGCCAGCAGGAAGCATGGTGGTTTAGGTGCTGGACTCCCACATGGCTGACTGTGGTTTGAGTCCTGGACCTGGTGGCTTGACTTGCTTTTTCTCTTTCTCTCTCTGATGAGTATGCATGCCCTGTAGAAATTTTAAAAATAATAAAAATAAATAAATAAAATTAATAAGTAATTCTTTTAAAAAATGTGGCAAGGGACTTCATGAATAATGATCTCTTGCAATCTAAAATAGATGTTAGATAAATTTATCTATTCATTCAATCTTTGTATACTTTTTCAATTTATCTTTATTATCTGCCCTCTGTAACCAGAACTCTTTTTTGTTTTTTTGAAAGGTTTTTGCTATAGGGCGTGTGCACTCACCAGACAGACAGAGACAGAAAGCAAGAAATCACCCACCAGGGGGGATGGCCACGCCATAATCCCTTCTCCTCCATTCTCCTCTCAGGATCTTGGGCACGCACGCACACGCGCCTGGCGTGAGTTTTAAGCCACCGAGTCCAGGACGCAAACCGCAGTCGACTACATGGGAGTCCAGCGACACAACCATTACGCCAACTGCTGGTCCCTGTAACCAGAACTCTTTGCTAGCATTATCACTGCATTAATCTCCGATCTCCCCAGTAGATAATAAACATAGTATTTGACAAAGATGAGACACACGACTATTTG